GCTGACGATAACATAGTTAACATTAGCTGACGATAACATAGTTAACGATAACATGGTTAACTTTCGATAACATAGTTAACGTTTACTTTAGCTAACATTAGTTAACGATAACAGGGCATAGTTAACGTCAAGCTACCGTAAGTGACCACAGTGAGGAGACATGTCGTAAATTACAGCTGCAGCTGGCTTCCATGCCAAGTTAGTAATAATTAGCATAGTTAGTAGTGCAGCCTGTTGAAAACCTCGACAACCAACAACACGGCGTCACTGTTGTTAGCAGGCTCTATTTCCTAACTATACTACTAGATTAATTTACCGTTTTAAATTATTTCACCATGTGGATATTTTGTTGTTGCAGCTTCACATCACTGCTGTGCCCAATGTTAGCATTTGGCGAGGGCGTGAAGTGATATTTGATGTATAATTGTTGATATTTAAAAAACAACAACATTGTAATTGAACGTCAGACAGCCCTGCTGCATATTTTGTGACATGACATGCTACCGAGTGTACTTGCTGTCATACTGGTGGATACTCGCTGGTATGCTCAGCTGAAGATCCCATCAGCTCTGCGACTTAGTCTGCTTCATGTGGTTTGTTGGCACCGTGTTGGAAAATCTGGGTGGAGCACATCTCAGGCGATGAGTTTGTATGTATTGCATCTACCCAGCACTCAAGTGTTTGCACGTTTTCTCACGCGTTCTGTGGCCGTATAGTTGAGTGATCGGGACAGGATTTGTTGGACCGAGTGCTTACACCGGGATGAATGCGAATCATCGCAGCGGTGACTCACGCGGTTGTACACTGAATCCGACAAGCAAATCCTCCTCGAAATTGTGGACAACCTTGTCGTGATATCGGATGTAAAGCATTGGTTTAAGTAAGAATCGTTGGCTGGTTTATTTTTCCCAGTCACGCCTGAATATACTGCGTTGCAGCTGATTAACTCGAATTATGGGATATTGCTGTGTTTTTTTTTTTTTTTTTTTTCCATTCTTGAAAACTGTGTTTAGCTTCTTGAATATACTGTCTGCTTACCTCTCATGTTAGAGCGTCTGTGTTTTAATCTGACTGTTTTTGAACTGAATCAAATGCACCCATCTTAAAGATGAATGTGATCCCTTACTTCATCTTGTAGTTATTCTGACACCTAGTATCTTAACAGCTGTTTTTTTTTTTTTTGTATATGCGAGTATGCTAATATTGCATACAACTATCCCTTAAACAAATTAGTATTTAAGTTGATTTTACTGGATTTCACTGATGCACGCTTTATTCTTAAAATCACTGAGGAATATTTTGCCACCTGTTTTGAGTGAAATGGAGTGACTCTTGGTTTCCTTTCTGTTTAGGATAGTTTCCTCGTTTGTTTCAATGTTGTCAACCTATAATCTAATAACCCCGTATTTAACCCTGCTATTTTGTGTCTTTTTCTAAATGAAAATGTGATGCAATATGAGTACAAAATATAATTAAGATGAATAATATTTCACTTGTCAGAAAAGCCAGATTTACAGATTAACCATGCTGTTGAAATGGCTCAAAGTTCAAACTACAGTGCACAGGAATTGTATAGGACTTGAGCTGCTAGACCCTTTTCTTCATCTGACTACTTGGAAACGAGCTAATATGAGAACAGCAGCTCTTTCTTTAGAAATACAGACATGCTTAATTTCTGGTACAGTTTACTTGAAAGCGTTCTTGGTCAGTCCCTAGTTTTATCAAAGGTTGATTTGAATAAGTGCATCCCGGCAGCCAGTCTTTATTCAGTGCTGCCTGCAATGAACACAACACCAATTGTAGAAGCTTCGGCCATTGCAAGAGTTGCTCTGCTGGCACTTGTTGCCAGCTCAACAACTGAAGAGTAAAGCAAAGGGCAGCTACAGATTGTGTAGATTGTTTCTTTATAAAGCCGTTGGGGTAGTCGGTGTCAGTAGTAAGAATTGTCTGAGAAGAGCAGATGTACAGTTTTGCAGAGGTGGCCTCCTCTTCATATTGTGTCAACAATGAGTTTGAGAGTCTGTATATCTTTGATTGTGGCGGGCTGAAGGACACATGGATTCCCATATGACCCTCCTTCCATGAGCTGACCGGAGGTTGACCTACCAGAGACAGGTTGTCCACCAGCGAGCTGAGTGACAATTACTGACCTGTTTCCAGCAGCAACTGCCCGTCAACCTACAATTGACCGCTTGGATTGTGAAGAAACGTCTGACAATGTTGGCATGAAACTGACATGACTGTCAACATCTAGTTGCTGTTGAATATATTTTTAGCAACCAGTTATAGTGGTTGGCAAAGTAGCCTTGAGGGTTGAAAGGTTTGACGTGAGCATGCTTCATACTTGCCAATTTGGCAACAGTAACTGACTCGACACATACCTCCAGTCTAAATTTGGAGCTATAATAATTTAAACCTGCAACGTCTTGGCATGAAGTAAATATCCTGGAGAACTTGCACAAGCATCTTATGGCTGTCAAATGGAACTTTGCTTGTACTGTACAGTTGACTCAAACATATACATGAAGGAGGCTAACTAGTCTTTTTTTGGGTTGTTCCCACTAGTGTATGCCGGTTGGCTCTGGTATGGGATTGAGTTGTTGTTCCTGTGAGCCTCCTGCCTGCTCAGACTCTTATGTGGGGATTCTGATCTACCGATCAGGCCTCTCACATCAGGTAACACAACTGATAGGCCACTAGCTGTATAGTTTAGTAAGGCTAGCCGATTGTTACCAACCCACATAACTGATACGGGCAACCTGCGGGTTGCAACGGCTGCAGATTGAAAGCTGAGCCAGATGTTCACTCGGTTTGTGATAAAGCTCTTTGGATAATTTGTGTCTGAGTACTTTTACCAAGAACAACCATTCACAGAAACTGGCGATGATTAACAGAACATTCAGCCTTTCAGTGCCGTTGGGTAGAGGTTGAAAGGTGATATGGTAACATTCCCGGGACACAGGTGATATGAAGGTGGAGTCATTCACAGAAAATGAAAGCAGCCCAGATTCCAGCTGTTTGAGATGCTTTGCTTTTTAGAGAAAATGATGACATAATGACACCAGTAGAAAACTGTCATCTACATTCCTCAGGGGCGTGTTCCTTTGTTCAGACATGGAAGTGTTGATTATCAAAACATTGCACACGTACTTTGTCTGTCATACTTGGCAGGTGAAATGATGCAATATTGTACTGCTGACTATGTTACAGTTTGACTAGATTACTAATGTGTTCTACTTCAGTATTGTTACATGCATTAACTGTAAATTGAGTTGTTGTTTTTTTTTTTTTTTTTTTTTTTTGAGTGTTTGTCTCAGTAGTTAACTGCTTTTCTGTGACATCCTCTTTGGAAAAATATGCTGACACATTACTCTGATGTATTCCAACATGGTTTTCCTTGGTTTGATTTGAGTTTTCAATGAAATCTTATGTTTGGTGGTCCACATTTTTTAGAAATGTAAGTCCAATTCATGTGCTTAAACATAGAACCGACTGTGCGTAGACAGTGATGCAGTGGGTGTGGTTCATTACAGTTCAGACCTGCCACTTGGTTATTGCATTCTTAAACTGACAGACCGGGGGTGTTTTCCATTATTCATTAAAATGGCATTTTAAAAACAGATAAGCTGTTAGGACTCAACAGGAAATTAAACAAAATCTCTCAAAGCAGTCAGCACCATTAGAGAGTAAGGGGCCCTTTATTGTACAGTTCCTGCCGCTACACAAAGACAGGAGAATCAATGGGAGGAAGACCATCACCGTTATTAACCGTCGGTGGGCACATTTATAGATGCACCACGGCTGTGGCCCATTCCAACAAGACACAACTATATTTTGTGCTGAACCAATTAGCCTGATTATGTGATTGTGCAAACATTTTGCTCAATACTGAAGCCACAAATGAGATTTGCAGAGAGGGGAGTCTAATGCAGTAATGGATGCTCACAGCGATGACAGCTGCCAGCAGCACAGAGGGAAGTATCAATATATAGTAGATGACCTCATTTCACACAGCACAGCAGTTTTACAGGTTGATGTTGAAGGCACATGCCTTTTAATGGATGTTTTGTTTCGGGAATCTTTAGTCATTTTTAGCTTCAGTGCTGTCGACTTAATTGTGTTGTACTGACCCAAAAACATCCTCCCTGCCGTAATCCACACATAGTCAGAGTTAAGCAGATGTTTGGACTGCTGTCACCTATCAGGTGTGGTGACTTCAGGGTCCATAGGTTAGTTGTTAGCTATGTTAGATTTCTTATAAATTAATCTGATTAGACTTGGTTGATCAGCAGGCATCGTGTTTTGAATATGCAAAACCCAAAGCTGCTGTGGTACTTATCAGCAAACAAAAGGAGGTATTTTCCCTTGTGGTAACGTCACTCCTGCATCATCAGCTGAAATGAAAAATGTGTGGATTTTCCTGAATTGCAGCTTCCTGGGGTGTTTCCAATCCTCATGCTTACTCCAGACACATCAATGTTTCATTCGCTGCTCCTTTCACATGCAGCACATCTCACGCCTAACACACATTGTCTCCTGTACATGTGTCTGGCTCTCTGTGCCTGGATGTAGTTTTGTCAGTTAGTTGCAGGTCTCTAGAAGGAGGTGAATTGGCTTTGTTTGTACCTTGTTTACTGGTTTGGCAGAGATTTAGTCAGACTGGTCCCAGTAGACTAAGAGGCTTATTGTTGCTCACAGTTAATATTCTAGTGGGTACCTGCTTTGGTAAAGTGCTTTTCAAGACCACGATGCAGTGGGGAAAAAAAGGGATTTCATCACATTGTTAGCTGCATTGAAATGTGGGCTAAAGCTTTGCAGTCCCAGGAACAGCTGATTTTACAGCAAACGCTGACGTGTGAAATTACTCCCCATGAAAGTTATCACAACATTCTCCTAATGAGACCATAGGTTCTGGGTATTGTACGAGCACAGCCGTTACTCGCGCCTGCTCGGCTGTGCCCCTTTTTTTTTTTTTTTTCTTTTTTTTTTTTTTCTCGTTGGCAACCTGGGAGTAGAAGTATGTTGCTCGGGGAATGTGGGTCAGATCTTGTGTTATCACTGAGACAAGAATGTGCTGCAAGAGCTCTAAGATCAGACTGGTGACATGACAGACAGATTATGAAGGTAGATAGGAGTGGAGCTGAAGAGCAAATGAAGGAGTGGTTTATCGGAAAGGAGGTGTTTGATCGATGGGCTTTGTTTTGGGAGTTGCATTGTCTTTCTGGTTATAAATAACGGCGTACATATTTTGTGCTTCCCTTATTTTTTCCATTGTTGACAGATTCTTCAGTATTTTTGATGCAGACATTGCAGTACTCCTCTGGCCTATAAACATTGTCATCTCCACCCACTCTTCATGTTATCCGTCATGCATACCTAATGCTGACTTTCCCCTCTCTCTCCTCTCCAGATGCAGTGTAGACTTGGCTGCTGACTGGTCTACAGGCTCTTCTCTGGTCCCTGGAGTCAGCCAGTTGGGGGGGGGCAGATTCCTGCGTTCCCCTTCTCTCAATCGTTGTCTGGACAAAACCAACTGCCCGCCATTGGAGTACGCAACTCATCCTCGACCGTGTTGCTTGGACCAGCACAGCTCATCTCCTGACTTGAGGAGAGCGCAGCAGCTGCACTAGATTTATCTTCTACCAACCGACCCTTCCTAAGCCCCGCCCACTCTGCCTCGTCAACATGGTGCTGTCACAACGGCAACGAGATGAACTGTAAGTCGGCAACACACCTTTCATCACATGTGGCTGAGTTGTGAAGATGTCAGATTCAAAATTGAGGATTAATACATTGCGGTTACAATGTTGTGTACGTGTTGCATCATGGGATGAGACATGTTTAAATTCACCATACTAGATTCACTTTCACAGCTGTCCAGTACAACCACATTCTTCTGTTACTGTGCAACTTTGAAGGGAAGCACAAAACTTCCCCTGCCAGACATGAACTGGGTTTATTGCAGGTTGTGGTTGGCACCCTAAAGCGTGAGATTACCTGAGCAACCCAAGAATAACATTTTCTGTTACAGCCATGCTTTATCAGAATGCGAATGGCACCTCAACACGTTTGAAACATTACATCTCTTTTCTTATTCTTGCAAGAAAGAGTTCAATGAACGATTCTATTTTTGTATACCTAACATTCCTGTTTTAATTGTGATTTTCATTGCTTCCCAGCATATATGTGTATTGATTACTACAATCAGTTTAGATGGGGACATTTTTGTTATTTCTTTCTCCTTGGTACTCAAGAAGAATCAATGACTGGTTTAAGGTTCCTGAGTTCCCCTGAGATTTTGCAGCACAAATGTATTGATCCTCCACCTCCACTATCTTCTGCTAAAAATGTTACGTTTTCACAATTTGCCCATGTGACCTTTAGGTTAAGCTTAGTGCCGCTTTTTTGCCCTAAAATATATGTAGAGGGAAAAAAAACGTGTTGTACCGAGCTTCATGCACTTTCGCTGTGTTCACTGCTCAGAGTGATTTCACAGGAAAACCACACGAGGAAGATGGGTGAAGAATCACTGCTCTTCCGAAAAATTGTCTGGCATAGGCACTGAAGTGGCATACAGACAAAGAGATATCTGCACATGGGCTGTGTGGTGTAGAGTGAGACAGACTGTGATAATGAGGGACTTGTAATATGGCTGTGCTGAGTCTGCGGGCTTTGTAATTAACCCCTGAGGCGGGGGATAAAAAGTTAAGGTAACTCATTGTGAGATACAAGGTCATGAGAAGGAGATGATATGATCTCGTTGAGCTTTAGTCCTTAATAAAACCTTCCACTCAAGAGGTTTGTCAAGAGGTTTATGTTTTTGCCTCTGACTTAAACCAAGAAACAAATGCTGTTTATTTTGAATGAGATTCACATGACAAGGTTCTTAACATTCCTCACTCTGTTTCTGTGTTTTTAGATTAGCGCTGTAGGAGGGGTCTGTTGGTATGGTGAGAGCTATTGGAATGCTAATCTTTCATGCTATTTGCTATTCAGAGGAAGCTGCCAGGGACTCCATTGCCCCTCTTTTCTCCTCTGTTGCACAAGTCTCTGGCCCCCATATAGCTTACAGGAAACGAGTGTGAGACCATCACACCACTTGAGTCGCATTCAAGCATCTGTTGCATTCTTCCCGTTGGAGATGTTGCTTGGCTCTGTTGGTGCTCATTGAGTTTGTCGGCTCTAAAGTGCCCCTAAGATCTTATTTCCTAAATGGCAGCCTCATTTAGGGGAAGCCAGCTTGAAAACCCAGCGGCCCATTTTTGAATCAGGCGACACAGCAGAGTGGGTAATGGGAACAGTGACCGGTGCACTGTCTGCTATTCACGCTAAATGTTTTATTGGGCCCTCTCCTTTTCTTTTTCACAACCCTTTTTAACATCATGCAGCAAACAAACAGATTTAGTTCCCATTGCATTCAGGCGATCTCCCTCCAGGCCAGTGCTTCAGTACAGTCTGAGAAACAATCTTTGTCCATATTACCATGCGTGAAAAATGCATTTCACATGAGCTTTTACATACACTGGTCATGCTGTACACTGAAATTGTTGCAAAGCGCTTAAATATTAGCTTCCCCTTTGCGCATGTAGGCAGTAGTAGCATAATAAGACGCAGAATTTATCAGCACAATAGCTGTTAGCGTAGGCAACAAGGTCAGCGATGCTTGTAGTTCGTTTGCCATGTTGAAATTAACCAAATGTAACTCATGGATCAGAGTGACGGATTGGATCAACACAAAAGAGAAAAAAGGAGCAACGCTACCTTTTTTAGAGATCCCTGATCCCACCGATACTAATTGCGATCATTGATGATCCATATTGTTGTTTGTCCTTTTACTTTACTTATAGTATACAATTCAAATGATAAGGAAATAAAAGATTGCGTTTTTATTGACTAAAACAGATCTTATCATTAGAAGCTTTAATGATTATTAAAGCTTGTGTAAACGGGTCATAATTCAGCTCTAATATCTATTATATATATTATATTATATTGCTGTAAATATATCTCTATCTATCTATAAGTTTCTCACCAAAACTACATTTTACGAGATTACATTTGAACACATCAGTAGTGTCGACGCTAGGCGTAAGCGTAGCCGTTTAGCCTATGTGTGCCTTCAGAACAAATGTTTTTGGCATTGAATTTCTTTTTTTTTAGGAGAAGTCAAACAGATAATAAGAAGAGGCAGTTTATCCTTGTTTTTGTCTTTCCATTGACCTGCTCTTTGACATCGACCAAAAACGACAGCATAACAGTTATATTAGCGGTTTGGAACAACATATTCTAAAAAGATAGATAATAATTTGTCCCCTAGATGTGTGCTGTTTTGTCAGCACTGCAGTCAGATGCTGTGATTGCGTAGCAACATCACAACAACTCTATTTTTATGAACATAGCCAATGAAAAGCACATTTGTGTTTCTTACCAGGGTCAGGAGACTCGTCCCCGCTGGCGTTTAGTAAAAACAGACTCGGAACACAAACTATCTGCTCCTCCGAAGGACCTGGAGGCACCAATGTGCAGATGGGTCTTTGCCTTTAAACACACTCTTTGCTTAACAAAGAAACTCCCCTCAGCCATCTCCATGTCTTGGGTTCATGTGATTTATTTTATATTTATTCCAGTATCCTCTTGCTGTGAATGTGGTGACACGACGGATTAAATGCCAGGATTTTGGCTATTCAGAAGACATAAAGGTGACTTAAACCATGAAAGATTGTAGTGTAGAACAGCACAGTCGAAGCTATGGCATGAGGAGGTTATTCTGGCAAAGCACATCTGTTTTATTCACTGGTATTTAGAGCTGCTCAATATTTAATAATAATAAATAATATTGGGCCTGTAGCAACATCCTTCACATAATTCAGCGTGTTCTGAGTCATGTGACATAACAAGCTGCTGTTATTCACAAATAAATAATATAGACACTTCCACGCATAGCTTGTTGCTTCTGTCCTCCTCGCTTTCTTCAGTGATTCCATGACTTTAGCTTTGGTTTGGTTGTAGCGTAAGAGTATTGCTGTGTCCGTAAAACGTTGAGATGAATGTTGCAACATGGTGCCAAAGCTCTGATTCTCAATGACTGAGTAGGGCTGGAAATCCGTGGCAAAAAAAAAAAATCTACTTTGTGATTCTCTTTGCCCTCTCAGAGTTGGGCGGAAGAAGAAGCAAAGTACTTCCATACGTTGGCTTTTAAGCCAGAGGGTGCCGGTCGGATCGTATCAGTATTCGGCTGCTCAAGCTCAGCCGCCCTCACTAAAGCTCTGCTAGTATTTAGTTTAGAACGTAAACAAGACGCACGTGTATGACGTCTGTTACGTTCAGGGGCAGCGGTGATTGCCATGTCTTTTTTTTGTGTCAGTGACCAGATTTGTAGATAAAAGGCCAAAGCTTAAACCTTTTTTCATTAATTGCACCGATTTGCGAATATTCCCTTGTTGGGTTCAGAGATGCAGTATTTATATGGTTGTCATATAGCTGTAGTAGTACTCTGGTATTTGAGTTTAACCGGTGCCTCCTGTGTGGATGGCACACAGACATTATTTGCAGGAACACACCGACGCTCAGCCTCACCTTTTCAGTTCCCGACAATAGGCAGTCCTCGTTTGCAGCTCTGCCCGCAATAGCATTAATACAACTAGAGATGCTAAAAAGGATTCCTTCCTCAGTAGATATGTTCATCATTGACCTTTCAACATGTGTGATGGGAAGCCTGGTCTCTCTGTGCTCTGCCTGTTCTTGTTATCCTCTATTTATCCGAGCTTGAAGTACACACACCGTCATGGGATTTAAGAAAGTACACTTAACTCGTCAAAGCTTTGGCTTCAGTTCGGCCAACAAAGCCCCGTCAGCACCATGTGACAGAAAATGTGTGCATGTTACGCCCATTAGAGAAAATATGTGATTTCTTGGTGTATTTTGATGTGTAGCCCATGCACGCACACACACACACACACCTTCTCCATAGTGAAGAATAGTCATTAAAGATACTTTACTCTTCTTTGGAGTGTAAGACTTTCCACTTTGAAGTCTTCTTCTGGCTTAAGGGTTGATCCTCACTGCTCCTAACCTATATGAAAGAAGACCGCTTTCTTTCCCGATTCACATTAAAATTAACAGCATTGTGATAATCGCCCCTTTTAAGAAGCTTTGAGATGATTTGAAATTTGGGAACCAAGTAAAGGGCAGAAATGATATCTTTTAAAACGTCATGTTTGATTCATTGCCTGGTTAGTGTAGGTAGTGATTACCTTGAGGAGACGTGCTTCATGTCTCAGTCACCAACGCCTGGCGCTCCGCCTCATCAGTCAACAAGAGAAATAGATCGGTTACAGTTTTCATGGAGACCCAACAGTAACTTGGCAATCCTGTGATTTGATTTTTGTGGAATGCTTCCATCAGCTGTTCAGTACTCGGCTGTTAAGACTAAGAATAAGCGTAACCTTTTTAGCTCTACACCGTCCTGCTTCTTCTCCTAAAACACGCCCTCTGCTTTGCTAGAAATGTCTCTTATTACTTTTACACATCGAACCTTTTAGCAGAAGTCGTGGTTTATCTTTGTTTACCGATGATGTCACCTGACCCTCTTGGACATGTGAGATGATGCAGGATGCACCTGACGTTGGGTACCTGGTGTTTGTCTCGTTCTAGACTTCCCATCAACTCTAAACAAACGCATGCCTTCAGTAAATAGAGCTGTTCATACCAGTTCTACAAAAGATTCCCAGATTCTTCAGGTCTTGAAAGACTGTCTTAGTGATATCAGTTGTTGGATAGCCCATTTTCTTCAACTCAATAACTCAAAATCAGAAATCATATTATTTAGTCTCTTAAACCCTATCGGTCCCATTGAAAGTGGGAAAGAAATGTTGACCTTATGAACCAGCTCGATGCCTCACTGTTGAGTTTTCTGTTTTATTGCTGCTTTGTCTGTCAAAGCACTTTGTAAACTCAGTTTTTAAAGGTGCTATATAAATATAGTCATTATTATTATTATTATTATTATTATTATTGAAGAGAACTGAAGGAATCACATGGGTGTGTTGCATCTGTGCACTCATGTACCTAACCTGGAAATCAAGAAGATATCTGCATAAAGCTGCACATTTTGCTCAGTTTTAGTCCTGAAAGGAAGTCCTACGCTTTGCCAAGTTTCCAGTCTTTACAAGAAGATGAAGGTAAAAGAAATGTGGAATAAGTTGTTTAATCTTCACATTGCCTGTGTCCTTGCTGCTTGAATACTTAGACCAGTGCTGTTGTTGTCTCTGCTGTCATTTCCTGCTGTTTGCACAGTGGCAATCATCTTAAAGAACAACTACTGGCACAACCTTTTGTAAGCTTTATGAAGCACAATCATCACACGGTGGTACAGTTTCAAACAGTGCCTGTTTAAGGGTGTGAGCAATGGGCTCATGGGGACACAAACTGTGAGGTTTGATATGTGCCGTGAAAAATCCATAGGACGGTGAATTGTATATGTGCAGAGGGACCTTTCAGTTAGTAGACTTGAACTTCCTCCTATTAAACATTTATCAGCAGTTTTAAAAGATTGAACAGGTTCAACATCGTCTGGTCTAGAAATACTCGTGCCTCGTAGACGGATGTATGGCACAGGGCATTTAGAGTCTGTAGCTGATGAGAGCGCTGTATGCTCATGTGGAGGGTTGTGTTTCTTCAACATTTAGGCAGAGTCGGTGGGTAGCTCAATGTGTCTGTAATTAAACGTATCGTAAGTGGTGCTTTGTTAAGAGAGGACTCGTAGTGTCTTTGTTGGGTGACTTATGTCCAGGCTCTATAGAATCAGTAGCTATTGGTCTTTTAAGATTGTGAAGTGTTAAGGTGCCAATGACCAGCCACCACCAGGTACAGCTTAATCTGTTCTGAACTAATTGAGATGCTCTGTATGTATATTATGCGGTACACTTTAAAACAGCTTAACGGTTGAAATGGTTCAGTTACTAAAACTGCTCACAATAACATACACGTACACACACTGTAGTGAATTGAAGTAAAGTGTGGCTGCTCTGTTGGTAAGTGTTGCTCATCTTTTAAAATGATCAATGAGCATGTTTTGGGAGGAAGTGATGTCACTGGCAGACATGCTGGGTGGTTGACTCACTTCTCTCTGTTCAGAAGGATGAGGTCATCTCTTCCCATCTGTCACAGACTGCTTCCCTCTCACTCCATTAAGGGTTTACAGTACATGAGAGAGCAGTTCTGATCGCAACATTGATGTAATATAAATTACTTTCATAAAGACATTGCTGTTGTAGGTTTTTGGACAGTTGGTGAGTGATGAGTATTGTTTTCAGCCCTTTGATCTTATTGAAGTTTACAGCTACAATGTGGGCTTTTCAGTCTCTTCTATTGTTCTTTCCCCCTCTTCTGTGTCCTCTCTGTCCATGTGCTGGCCTCCTCTTCACGATCTCCTCATCACGTCATCTAGCTGTGGCTAGTAACCATGGAAACCAGCCCCTTTTCTCTCCATCCCGTGGACATTGATACACATATTTAGATATTTTTAGTCTCAGTCTTTGGGAACTGGATATATTGAAAACTGCATGATTTTTGCCCACCATTTTGTTCCCTTTCTTTGCTGTTTTGTGCATATTATGTGGTGTTCTTGCACCATGCAAACACTCTTTAAATATTTTGAATATGATTACCAACTCGTCCCCTATACTCGTCATCCACCATGTGTTTTGCATACTCACTGACATCTGTGGGGCAACCTGTGTCTTATAGTTTTAGGAGACTAAAGGAGAATATCTGCCACTTTGCTTGTATCCTCAATAGCGCTACATGTACAGTAACTGATCAAAGCCCTGCAAAGGATGAGATTCCTGCATAGAAGGAATTGACTTATGTAGAGCCCTTGAAAGCCTTTACATTCTTTAAATATTTTTAGTCGTGTCAGGGCAGAGTTGGGTACATCTAGGTTGTTTTCTGAATACCCCATCCTCTGAATTGGCCTGTAAATGGCTGGTGTGACATCTTATTGTTGGGTTTGTTGGAAGCACTCTTGCTTCATAAACGACGACAAACCTCGGGGTCAGTGCCTTAAACCTGTGCCAGTGCCTTAAGTGTTTACAGTTCATGAAAGTTTGTTGCATCTTAGTTGCTTAAATGTGTCTCGGGTGTACTTGGCTCCACCCTCTCTTGTCACTTCTAGTTGAAAAAAGAAAACAAGATGGTGACTTCTACAATACCAACATTTCAAATCGGCAGTCCTCTTCTTATATACAGTCTGTGGTTGACACATCCACACCACATCAAAGCCTCCTTTGTGCCTCACCTGCAGCTTCCTTTGCCTGCTTCTACACTTTCTCAGACCTGCTAGCTCCCAGCACCCCCCCCCCCCCACCCC